CTGCAGGGGAAGAGAGACAAAGCATGCTGTGAGGAGACTCTTGAAGCCTTCGAGTACTAAACCCGACGGCACCTCTGACCCATACCTTCATACACACGAAATTCCTCTTTTTGGCTTAAGCTATTACAACCCCGAGTTTTAATGGGTACATCCGTGAAAAGTTTTCCAGCCGAGAAATACATGACTACTTCAGGAAGATTCACTGGCAGCAGTTTATGAGCTACAGAGCAAGAGGAAAGGGACCAGAAGCAGAGAGAAAGTTGATAATAATGACCCAGGAAACACAGTGACAATGCAGAGATAGTGGGGATGGGAAAAAAATGGTTCGAGGTAGGACAGGGGTGCATGAACATTCTAGCTTTCTCCAAGTTCCTTCCATTAAATCCTATTAAATTTATTGCTATGCAAAGTTTCAAACACATAGCAAAGTTTAAAGAATTTTAGGCGAACATATACCCACCTCTAGATCATATAACGTTCACATTTTATTATATTTGCTTTATCAAATATCTAGCCATGTCCATTCCTCTAACCATCCATCAGTCCATCTCATTTTTAGTGCCACATTCAAAGTAAACTATAGACGACAGAACACTCCCCTCAAATAATTCGGTGGGAGTACCATTAGAGTTCAATATTTGCTTAGTTTTTCTTTTAAAGCAAAATTTAAAAACAATGAAATACACAAATCATAAATGTACATTTGCTGAGCTTTGACATACACCTATATAACCCAAACCCTTATCAAGATGCAGATTGCTGTCACTCCAGAATGTTCCCTGGTGCCCCTTTTCAGTCCACCTGCACCTCCATCCTCAGTAATCTCTACCGTTTCTCCCCTTCGATCAGTCTGGGGACAGGCTGGTTTCAATCCTCTCCTTGAGGCTAGTGCAGTAGCATTCCACGCAGCGGCCCGCAGGGTCAGTCTAGGCATGAAATGTGGTCCGCCTGCATTCTTTCCCTGCCCAGGAATGGCACGGCACTTGTGCTGGGGATGAATAAGCACTCACAGGCCCCAAACTTCCGAGGATAATTTGAAAAGTACTCCGTTTAGAATTTCATAAAAAGATTAAGGGCCCTACAGCCTTTTATAAAACTGGCTAGCAAAACTGGAAAGTTTTTAAGAAACGAGCCCAAAAAAGCTTACTGTGTGTATTTCCATATGATGATACGTTTCATATCCTTTAATTGGTAAAGGCAGACAGTGTAACAGGAGGATTCAAAAAGAAAAGAACCTGAGCCTAAACCATAAAATAGTCTGAAATATCGGTCTTTAAATAGACAAAACCACCACTTGAACAAATTACTTTTCTCTTTAACATATAAATGATATTTAAAACATTTATTTAGCATTAGCCATAGCTAGCCTGGTCATCAACATACTCACACGTAGGCATTGGACACGCTCCTGCTTACATTGGAACCCACGGCACAAACAGGCTGTTGCTTCTCCCACCCCTTCCTAGTATTTTTCAGGGTGCTACAGTGCGTGTGTGTGTGTGTGTGTGTGTGTGTGTGTGTGTGTGTTGGGGAGGCTGTTGGAAAGGTGTATGTGGAAAATGGGAAGAAGAGGCCAGGCAGGCTTCACCATAGATCCTGTTCCTGCGGCAGGGGTGGGGGGATCCCGGGTGCTCAGCCCCTATCTCTCCCGCCTTAGGGACGGCTTTATAAATAGCCTAGAGCCACAGTGAGATGTGAGCACAGCAGGGACTTTTCTTCTGGTGAGCAACTTTGACCATAAGCACAGGTGAGGCTCAGAAAACAGGCTTCAGTCCAGCCAGGTCCCCTCTCCCCGCAACTCCCTCTTAGAGACAGGAGAGGGTAACATGAAGGCACAGACTCCAGCTCTCGACAGAAACTGACCCCCACCCTATTTACATGGGATGGAGAATGTTCCACTCTTTACTACCCCCGTGACTAGTACCCTCACCTGGACACCAAGGAACAAACAAAATGAAGAGGGAGAGATAGCAAAGTCCACCAAAGTCCAAGAGCAAAACAATGTGGAGAATAAGACTAGAAACTGCTGAACTCTAGGGTCATAACTACTACTTGGGAATTTAATACAAATACCAAAGAACTAAAACATCTGGAAAAAACCTTGTAGCAAAGAGAGCTTATTAAATTCCAGGGATGTCTCAGAGCCACTTTCTGGACATAGGAGAGTGCACCTGGCCAGATAGGAAAGGGTGGTGGCGACAAGCAAGAGGGTGCGAAGCCCTCCCTGCAGGTGGGAAAGGCCAAAGAGACGGACTTCTCAGAACAAACACGAGTGAGATGTCTCAATCTAATAAGAATTAAACAAAACTAATTAGAAACAAATCCTCCTCTCATAAGCCATCCCTCTGTGCTGGCTCACTTATCCTCTCTGGAAGGAAAAACAAATCCTTTTCTATCTTGCATGGTTTAAATGAACTCAGATCTCTTCCAGCACTTCTTATTCCAGAATAACAGAATTCTAATTTCACAGATCCTCATAAAAGCAGTGAGATAGAAATATTTAATATCAGGGGCTTTAACAATCCTTTTCTTTTAATCACCCTACAGGGCCTCCAACTCTATTTTAAATTTCTTCAGCATTTTATTATCACCTGAAATTTTAAATATTTGGTTATTCGTTCCCTACCACCAATCAACCAACCAGACACACACACACACCCCAGAATGCAAACTCCACTCCTCGCTGCTCTGTCTCCTAGGCCCTGCCTGGCAGCCAGCACATGCTTAACGTTTCCTGAATGGATGAAAGTGTTACTTCACGTGTTACACCAACCACACCAAATACAGCACTGCTTGTAAATTGTGCTTTAATGTCTGCAATCAGATACGATGCAGTGAGATACAAGTATAAACTTTCAATGTGCATCCAGAAAATAAAAAGCACATTTATACAGATTTAGCCCAACAGCTTATTCCCTTATAAAGAAAAAAAAAAAGTTTTAAATTCAATTAAAGCTAGTTTATCTTCAGTGTAAAAACTTGGAGGTATAAACAAACTCAAGATATTATATACAGTAAATTAATGTACATTTCCAAAGTTACACATTACAGCATTTTAAACAAAGTAAATGGTCTCATTTCAGCTTTTGCTATTAAGCATAATCCACATCCTCAATCTTGGATAAAAATTTCACAATATATAAACCCACTGAGAATTCTGTATACAAATACAAGTTATAGAAATCTGATTTCAAATATAAATACAAAAATTGTCATGACCTGACCATGTTACAACAGCTTACTTATTTTTCCATTTGTAATTTTTTAAAAAAATCATAGAAAAATATTTCAATGCACATTCGACTGCTATGACAAGGGCCATGACCTTGTGCCTTTAAACCATACTTGTGGAGTATAAAGCATCACACCGGGCATTTTTGGAATGAAAATTCTAAGACTGAAGAGGCTACCATATAAACAGTCAGGTTATAATATGGTAACAAAAATATTTAGCTCCATAGTGTGTTTGGGAGGCAATGGGGCAGAGAAGTGGAGGTTAGTGCTAACTTAAAAAGGCCCATGGAAGGTATGTGAAGGTAGCCAAGGAACTAGTTAGTGTATTTCAAAAATCCCTATTGCAAGCCTAACACTGACCTTGCTAGTAACTCTTAAGGCAACCAAGACTGAGCATGTGTTTGGCCCCCAGATGAATGAATCCTGCCCCCTGAACTTCTGTCATCGTAACAGACCACCCTGGCTCGTGTGTTAACACGGAGTGGGGAGCATAGCAAAACAACTTGTATGTATAAAAGACGATTCAGTGCAAACCTAGGAACTCCTCTTTGTCAATAGTTTCAAAATTTCTTATTGCCCTTGAGCAACTCAAAGTTTTCTAAACATGTAACATTCAAATTGGGATCCACACTGGAGAGTAAATGGGTATAAAAGGCAAACATTCAATTTAAAACATTCTAGCATGAGGTTTTTTTCCCTTTCTTTTGTGGGATTTGACAGGGTTCCATTGAGAATGAAAAAAACTGATCCTTACAAAGCATACTTTTCTGCAATTAAAAAACAAAAAATAGAGATACATATATATATATAATTTAGACAGCAGATCCAAGAAGGTGACCAGGCATAGTCAAGTTTCTTCTATGGCTTTTTAAATCACTGAGGTATTATATGAAAATCACTTCTGATATTTATGTTTAACTACTTTCCTATGAGAGCCACATTCAAGTGACCCAACCCCATCAGTCTGTAAAGGTACAAAACTCAAGGACGCGGCTGAGGGGCTGCAGAGAAGCACAGTCACAGGTGCTCCAAAGCCTAGGCAGGGGATTAGAGCAAGGCAAAGCAGTTCATTCCAAATACTGAGAGGAACGGGAGCTCCTGTGGGCAAACAAAGAGATTCCCCAGTTTAACCAACTGGTTTAGCAGCAAGACACTGGGACTATGTGCCCCAAGGCAGGGAGTGTGAGGGACCGTGGCGGGACAGTGGTGCGTAGAACTGAGCAGGCAGAGGAAGACCTGGAGCTGTCAGCAGCGGAGAGAGGGCGGGTACTGGCTAGCTCACCACCCACATCAAAGTGACACAGCCTATGAAGGAGGGAGGAAGATCTGAAGTGTCAGAGTGGGTGACACGGGTGGAATCTCCCAGCCTTTCCATAGGCAAGAGGACACAGAAAGGAAAAAATGCTATGATTTAAGTAAATGCTATATATCTTAATACCTCTGTTTGAATCTTTCAATTTGCCATTTAAATAGCACATAAAGCTGAACTTGCTCCCAACTGAGATAGGTTACAGAGAAACTTACTATTCCCAATGACTGGGTAAATTTATCTTGGCACAAAAAGGATCTGAAGAAAGCATCAAGTCCAAGAACATCTTAGTGAAGCCCTTCCCATTTGTAAACTGGCCAGTGCAGGTTCTATATAATACTTCGGCATCAGAAAACGGCCACAGTCCTATTATGGGTCAAGTAGTAATTCTTTTCAATTAATAATACTTTTAATTGCATAGTCTTTCAGAAACATGAAAAATAATGAGAACCAGCTCTTTTCCTGAAGGCCCAGGTTTACTCCAACGGAGCGCTGGGCTAATGGTCCCCCCAGCATCAGCTGCGGCGTGACTCAAATCCAGGGAACGACTGTCCCAGTCTCCCACGCTCCTCTTTCACAATCATTCAGCAAATAGGTCACACGTCCCCTAGATCCACAAACTCATCTTCTCGTTTGGCCAAATCTTCCTCATCTCCCAAAGCCTTCCAGCCACTGGTGGGCAAGATGGGCTTAGAGGAATGTCGCTGCAGCAAAGCAAAGGGAAACAAAGAGGACAGGCGGGCAGAGTTCCTCAGCAGGCAGGGGGGCTCTGCCTGGGGGTCTTCCTGGCTGTGGTGTCTCTCGTCGATTTTCTCTTGTAAGCTCTGGACTTCCTCCATCATTTCCAAGAGTTTGCTCATAGTGGCCACTGTGCCACCACCTAGGATTTGGGCTTCCGGAATCCAACGCAAGTAGCGCTGGGCCCAGACTCTGATTTCTGGTCCCTCTATATGAGGCAACAACAAACCGTGGTAGTCAGTGGGCTTGCTATGCCAGCTGTCATAGAACTCTCGAAAGTTGTCTTGCAGCTCATCAGAAGAATTAATAAGCTTGCTAATTCTCTTGCCCAGAAGGTTTTTAATTAAATGATCTGTTTCTTCCCTGAAAAATCCTCTTTTGGGAGATGACTTAGATTGGGTGAGTGGCAAAGAAAGTTGTCGTTGATGCTTTGAAAGAAAACACAAATAAATCTCTGGTTAATATAAGAGTCACGGTTACAGTTGTTACCATAAAAAAAAGGGGGGCATAATCCTGCTTTAGCAAGTATCAAGAGACATCAGGATGGCCCCATGAATGCATGTGCATTAAAATGCCGTCACATGCAACGGAAGGGGGTTCTTGTTTATTCCCACGCCGTATCAGAAACAAGTGGGGAAGCCAGGTGCGTGTGGCAGCTGTGCAGAGGCTTGTTGCGACACAGAGGGGAGCTTTCTATGCCCTCCTCTCCCATCACAGGAGTACCAAAGGACACAGTACTGAAAAAGCCGTCCAACTTAAGACAGGTTAATGATTTAGGGGAACTCAGAACATGCCTATTCATGTCTGGAAGGAAGCAAGATGTTTCTTCTTTGAGAACTTTAGGGCTGGTTAACCTCTATGATATTCTAAACACCTGCAAGGGAGCAGGGCTGACCACCTAAAGATTCCCATCACGTGGATGAAATAACTTAGCAGCTTGTCAGGCATCTAGTGGGAGTTTAAGCCTAAGTTATAAAGATTCTTCTGGACAAAGAAAACAGAGGCAGGTGGGAGCAAAGGAATTTGAGGAACCAGCTAAGCTGGCCAGACATTCTTGTCTGACAACCTGCATGGAGTAGAAAGCTTGAGAGCATTGGCATTTTTTCCCTCCTTAGTAATTCTCTCTGCGGCCAAAGCAGAATGCTATTTTGGGGTGCACTGTGAAAATGTGAAGATGGCTAAAGTGGTCAGAAAGTCACAAGAGTTCCCCAGTGCCCAAAGGAGAAGCTTAAAAAAAAAGGTGGGGATAAGCTGTTTCTCCTCAAAATCTTTTGCTCTTGAGATGTTCAAAGTAAGAACAGATAAAGCACTTACTTTAAGGCTAGCCCTGTAACTCTCTAATATATTTCTGCCAGTGGTTCTTCCTTGTAAAAAATTTTCTATTATAAATATTTTCTTATTATGGAATATGACATAACAAAAATATAAAAAAAGAAAGGAAAGCCATCCACAAGACCACAATTCAGAGATGACCAGGATTTCTGATTCTCCATCTGAGGACAGGAGATACGAAAGCCAGGAGTTGGCAGCCCCTCTTCTTCTCAGCAGACAAGGTGTGTCAGGCAGGGCAGGTGGCCGAGGAACGCAGACAAAACCTAACCGTCAGGCCGAGTGCGGTGGCTCACACCTGTAATCCTAGTACTCTGGGAGGCCGAGGCGGGTGGATTGCTCAAGGTCAGGAGTTCGAGACCAGCCTAAGCAAGAGCGAGACTCCGTCTCTACTAAAAAAATAGAAAGAAATGATCTGGACAACTAAAAATATATATATAAAAAATTAGCCGGGCATGGTGGCACATGTCTGTAGTCCCAGCTACTCGGGAGGCTGAGACAGAAGGATTGCTTGAGTCCAGGAGTTTGAGGTTGCTGTGAGCTAGGCTGACGCCACGGCACTCTAGCCCGGGCAACACAGTGAGACTCTGTCTCAAAAAAAAAAAAAACAAAAACCTAACAGTCACCAATCACTTACCGCCTGCCAGGTTCTGCACTCAGTGCTTTACGTGCATTGAAGGCCCTAATTCTCAGTCACTATTATTGCCCCATTTAACAATGAGGAAACTAAGGCACAGGGGTTAAGTAATGTGCCAAAGGCACCGGCTACCGGGTGCCAAAGCTATTTTCAAACAGTCTGGCTCTAGAGCCTGGGCTCTTAACTAAAGTCTCCTTGTGTCGGAAGCCCGGTTCTCTCAATCTCCTCAGTGAAAGGAGCAGGCCAAGGTGGGAACAGCACAGGCTTCACGACCTGCAGCTGAAGCTGCGACTGCACACCTCAGTGGACTCCTGCCCCTCGAGTGGCAGTTCAGAGCAGCCCTGCACGCTGGTCAGCCTCGGCTTTCCTCGTTCCACAGCACGTCTTTAAGGCCGCTGGTCCACTCCACCTGGTGCCCTCACCTGAAATCTGGTCTTCTTACCCAACGCTTCAAAGCTCCTCGTTGCCCCAGTTCCAATTCTGTTCTAGTACAATCTGAAATTCTCTAACCCTTCTGCTCAAATCTCTCCCACCAACCTACTCTTGGAGCGTAGGCTGTCTGCCCCTATCTACAAAGAGAAGGGACAATTAGGAAAACTATGTCTGAGGAGAGAAATGACATCTATTCTGAGACAGGGGACCCTTAGTTTCCTCTCCTGTAAAGTAAGGAGTGGGCCTCGCTGTCTCTGAGGTCCCTTGCAACTCAGGCACGCAGTTCTGTGACCCTAACCTGGCTCCCATGAGGATGTGCACACAGCCACCAGGGGGCACAACACACTGAAGAAAAACTGATCTCTGGCCAAATTGCTCCAGGGCTCAGGGCAATTCTGGTCAAACTGGCAGAAACAAGGTGAACCAGAAAGGGGAAGCATCCACCCTGGGTCTGAGAACCACTAAAAGGGCAGAGTGACAATTCTAAGTCATTCGGCAGCCAACATCATCTCTGACTTCTGGCTTTGGCTCACCCAATCCTCTCTAGAATGGAATCAACTCCCACACCAGAACTGGCCAGGCTCCCTGCAGCCCCTGAAGGCCGCAAGGTGGGCTCAGGATGGCAGTAGAGAAGGTGTGATACACACCGACTTGGGTTTGCTATCACTGCTCTCCCCTTTGTGGGGCAGAAATCCTGGGCCTGGAGACAAAGCTAGGAAACAGCATTTAAATAACTTCTCAGTTAGAGAACTCTGGGGTTTAACAACTAGTAAAATCAGGACAAACATCTGAAGGGAAAAACAAATCTTTGACATTGTGGTTCAGAGCATGGGTCAGCAAACTGGCAGCCCTTGGGCTAAATCTGGCCTGGCACCTATTTTTGTAACTATTGGAATGCAGTCATGCCCATCTGTTCACCTATTGTCTAGGGCTACTGCTGTGCTACAGTGGTAGAGTGGGGTGGTTGCGACAGAGACTGTATGGCCCTTGACAGAAAAAGTTTCCCAACCCCTGGTTTATAGGTACAGCCCATGAAAAAAGTCTTACTGGTATCTGCTGAGAAAAACCCACACAATCAATGTTTCTTTATTCTACTAACCATACACAGGTAGGGGTGAGAGGCACAATCTCATCCAGCTCGACTACAGCAGCAGCACCCTTAGTGACAATCAGCAAATGGCCATGTCTCATTAGGGCAAAGGCCGATTTGCTGAAAGCAAAGGATTCTAATGGGCCCTGACAATTGCCTGTCACAAATCTCGAGTTTGCAGACTGTTTCAAGGGGTAAGACACACACTGGCAGACAGAATCCATATGTAAATTTCATCCTTATACACATGGGACCTGGGGCAGATGCAGGGGGTTAGACATGTGGACATCTTACTTTGGAACGCACTCCTTTCCGTTGGCCTTTGTCCAGTTTTGGCTTTTCCACGTAGAGAGGGTTTCTGAGCAACGTCTGGGCTTTGGGTTCAAACTGTACAGACCAGTCCCACACGGAGAGCAGATTCAAAGGCTTGCTTTGTGTATCCTGGCTTTCCCTGCCCTGCCAAGACAAGCACAGGTCAGATGGCTTCCAGGGAGGGCTAAGGAAGGCAAACACATAATTCTGAGAAATGAGCACCAGGAAGGGCACTCCTGCCCTGCCCTGAGCATGAATATTCATGGTACTTCATTTTTAGAGGCTGAGGCTACCAGTGGTTATTCACTGGATGCTTTCAGACGGGAGGAGGGTAAGAAGGACGCTTACCTTCCGTGGACTATATGCCAGCCACTGTGCTGGGCACTTCCATAATCTTGTGAGACAACTATTATTCTTCCCATTTTATATTTGAAGAAACTGAGGCTCAGAAAGCTGAAGTGAACTGCCTGAGGGCACAAAGCTGGTGAGTCACAGAGCTGGGCTCTGAAACGGGAGCGGGGTGACTCGGAAGTCTAGGTTCTGTCATTCCCCCTCTGCTGTGGGATCTGGTAATCCTCCGGGCTCCAGCGAGCCCCGCAGCCAGCAGAAGGCTGGTCAGCAGCACTGAGATTAGCTGGGACTGTTACCCACCCCCACCCGGGGCACAGCCTCAAGAAGGACTAAAGGAATTTAAGATGGAAAGTAAAAGCCTAGCTTCCCTTCACAGAGCAACTCCAGGCATCAGGCAAATGGAAGACAGGGCATCTGGTCTGTTTTAAAAAGGACACCTTTTAATTTTGCTTAACCCCCAGCTCCACCACTTGCTTCCAGCTCCAATATTTACTATGACCAAGGGTGAGTTACTTGTCCTTTGTGTGCCTCAGCTTCCTCAGGGATAATAATGATGCATACCCACAGGGTGCTGTGAGGATTAAATAACACCTAGAAAGCACTTAGAACAATGCCTAGCATACAGTCAGTGGTAAACAAATATCATTTTTAGCATCAATGTTATTGCATCCTACTTGTGAGATGGAGCTTCTTTAATACACAGGTTCATAAGAGGGATCTTACCACGTTAGTATCTTTTTGATGAGGTGAATTGAAGAAGAAGGTGCTAAAAATAGGAATGTATAGGCTATCTGACAAAACAGTCAGGTAAGTCTCTGTGAATTCAAATGCTGGAGGATGCTGGTGTACCAGCTGCCAGACACAATCTAAGAAAAGCTGGAACACAGGAACCTATGTGAAAACAAGACACACGTTACTCAGTGGGCACAGAGCCCAGTGCAATCTGTCCTGAGCTCAGGGGCAGCCATCTCTAAGCTGTGGAGTAACCACCTCTGAGCACTATATTCTCTGGGAAACACAGTACACCCATCCCATTCCAAGCAATAAATATGCTCAATTGAAATCACGTACTTAGAGATTAATGTCGTATTTGGCAATACCTACCTGTGTCAAAGACATTTCAAGGATGAAATATGTAAAAATTTCATTATGGATCAGTATTAACAGAGGAGCATTTGCTTTTGATAATAGGGAACACTAACTTAGAACCCCAAATAAGTGAAATGTTATCTCCCCCCAAAACAATTCCAGTCTTCTCATTAGTGGAGCTGTATTGTAAGAAATTGTACTCAATTATGATTGCTATTTTGAATTTTGTCAATAAAAAATTATGGGGGGAAAAACTTCTGTCCCCCTGCTTGCCCACACAACTATGGTCAGGGACAGGTCCTGGAGACTGAGCTGAAATGAGAAGCCTCCCCCTCTCCATCTCCCACAATGAGGGCCCAGAAGACAAAGGGATGGGAAAGAAGGCAGTGGCTATAAAAATGAGTTTTTTCACAAATGTATTTTTTTTTTTTTTTTGAGACAGAGTCTCACTCTGTTGCCTGGGTTAGAGTGCCATGGCATTATCATAGCTCACAGCAACCTCAAACTCCTGGGCTCAAGTGATCCTTCTGCCTCAGCCTCCTGAGAAGCTGGGACTACAGGTGTATACCACGACGCCCAGCTAATTTTTTCTATTTTTTTTTAGTAGAGACAGTGTCTTGCTCTTGCTCAAGCTGGTCTAGAACTCCTGACCTCAAGCGATCCTTCTGCCTCGGCCTCCCCAAGTGCTAGGATTGCATGAGCCACCATGCCCAGCCCCACAAATATATTTTTTTAAATCCATGAGTCTCCTTTGTTAGCTACCCAGAGGTGAGCTCTTGATTAGTAGAGGAGTAATTTCTCCAGTATGTTATCATTTACAAAGTGCTTATCCTCCTTGATTCACCAATGACCCTGCCAGGTGGGTAGAGAAGCTATCTCTCCCTACATAGGGGAGGAAACAAAAGATTAGAGATCACAAGAGGCTGGCCCAAAAGTCTCACCGAGAGCTCATAAGAGAGAGGTGAAGGGGAATCCAGCTCTTGAATCAAAGTCCAGTGCTGCTTCGATTATATCACAAGTTAGCCAGCCCGTTTTCCTTTAAAACTTCAATATGTTGGTGTTAAAATGCTAAGAAATATTTACACAGAACTTTATTTCATACCTCATTTTATGCACAATATCATTGAACAAAGTGGAAAATATTTAGGCCTCATTGTATAGTAAGGGAAATGAGCTCAGAAAATATGAGTGACTTCTTCAAGGGTGGGGTCAACAGCAGATTGGGTTTTCTCTTGGACCCCTTCCCATTAGACATGGTGCCTATCAGTTCCCCTCTTCTCAAGATAAACAAACACACTTCTCTTCGCACAGTGTCAGCTCTGCCTATCATCTTATGTGCATCCCATCAACCTTTCAGATTGGGTCCTCTAAGTCCCTACTAAGACTGAAGGATGGTGATTTCTATCCAGCTCAATGGGACACAGATGAGTACAGGGCAGGCCTGAAAGAAGCCAGCTGGCTGAGCGTGAGAGGCCTGGGTTACCCCAGGAACCTGCCACGCCCTTAAGGGCAGGCGCCATGGCTCTCATTCCTGCAGCATACTGAGCCAAGCCTTCTGCACCACAGACAGACATGCTGATTACCTAGAGGAAGAAAAACCACAAGTTACGCTACCAGCACACGTCAGCTCTGCAGGTGATTTAATTAAATAAAGTTTGTTTTCATTTTTCCTTCCACCAGTCATCAATAAGGAGCCAAAGGAGTTTATACAGCTGCCACCTAGACAAGCACACCACAATCTGGGGGGCTTATTTTCTGTAAGTGATCTACAACGCTAACTCTCCTGTGCCTGAACTCAGAGGCCGCGGCCTGGAGTGCTTCACCCAGAGAGAAGCACAAGTGGCGGGGGCACAGCCCTACATAAATTACCGCTAAGGCCCAGGTAAGGGACGGCATTAACATAACCCTATGCTGGCCGGGTGCGTGGCTCACGCCTGTAATCCTAGCACTCTGGGAGGCCGAGGAGGGCGGATTGTTTGAGCTCAGGAGTTCGAGACCAGCCTGAGCAAGAGTGAGACCCCGTCTCTGCTAAAAATTAGAAAGAAATTAATCGGACAACTAAAAATATATATAAAAAATTAGCCGGCCATGGTGGCACATGCCTGTAGTCCCAGCTACTTGGGAGGCTGAGACAGAAGGATTGCTTGAGTCCAGGAGTTTGAGGTTGCTGTGAGCTAGGCTGACGCCACGGCACTCTAGCCCGGGCAAAACAGTGAGACTCTGTCTCAAAAAAAAAAAAAAAAAACATAACCCTATGCTTCATTTTGAAAAGGTTTATGCCCAAAGAAAATTTACTTTGTGTTATTATGTACACATTGAGTATCCCTAATCCAAAAACCCAAAATCTGAAATGCTCCAGAATCCGAAACTTTTTGAGTGCTGATGTAACACCCAAAGGAAATGCTCACTGGATCATTTTAAATTTTGGATTTTTGGATTAGGGATGCTCAATTGGTAATACAATGCAAACATTCCAAAATGCAAAAACATCCAAAATCTGAAACACCACTGGTCCCAGGCATTTCGGATAAGGGATGCTCAACCTACATTTTCTGTAAGAAACCTGTACCCTGAAGATCCATTTATTGCAAAGGCTAACTTAGTAGAAATTGTAGAAGTCCTCTTACTGAGTTACTTTATATTTAAGTTTTATAAATCAATATTACTTCCATCATGACATATATATATAAAAATACACCCTGGCGTACACAATTTAGAAGAGAAGCCTCTGAACACACTTGTTAGTATCTTTTTTCCTCTAGGAAGGGTTTCAGTATTATTTAAAGCATCCAAAGTCATCACACAATGAACTGATCCCGGTTTTCCTAACAGACCTGTACTGCATGCACTTTGCAAGCAGTAGCGCTCCATCTGAAGACAGGTGTTAAACGAGAGGCTGATCTCCCCATGATGGAAACAGTCTGACTGTGGGAACTCACCTCCTCTTTGTCACTCTGGCGCAGGTGGTTGCAGCGATCCAAGAAACAGTGGCCACCCATGACCCACTCCTTCTGGACGAGGCTCTGGAAACCAATCCTGGTTCTGCAGTGGGGATCCATCATCACTTGCACCAGAGAGGAAATGAGGCAACAGAGGTCGGATGCGTTCTCCTCTAGGAGGGGCCCAGCAACAAACAGGAAGGAGGGCAAAATGTGTTAAAAAGCTGCAGAGTGCTCCCACTTGCACAGTTAAAAGTAGGGTTCACAACACCAAGGTCTGCTATTAATGGTCACATTCTTATTCCTTGAAGGCAAGAGCCAATGAAAAACAGGGTAATGGTTTCAGACTGAAAGACAATTTGCTTCTAGTCTGTCTAGTACAGGTTCTGGCTTATACTCGTACTAAATATGGATTTGTTTACTGAATGAATAAATGTAGCATTGCAAATCCACTTCCAGCACATGGGCATCTAGGTGTGCTGCACAATGAGAGCTAAATCACCGTTATAATGATGGCCTGCTGGACTCTGCAGACCAAGACTAAAGCCCTTTCCTCCTGGGGTGTCGACGCCCCAGTCACTGAACTCACTGTTCCACAGCTGGGCTGCATCTTGGGCTCATCTCAGAGCTCCTTTCCTCCACTCCTAAGTCCTTACTCGCTCTAATTTGGAGAAAGTTTAATATTTCTGGACTGTACCAAAATGATCTTTTATTTTCAGCCCAAGGCTCTTTCCTTTTATGTTTAAGGAGTACTGAGGTGCCTGCTTCTCCTTGCTTAGCCTAGGGGAGAAATTCTCCTTGATCTACTTCTACATGCCCACCTGAAATGCACTTTCCAAAACCCATATGATGAAAAGTCTATTCACATACTTTAACATTCATGACTTAGAGCAAATAAAAATATGTATCTATGCAATTTGTCTTAATTTTAAGATCCTAAAAGCCAGGGTTTATGTCTCCATGGTTTCTTACATACAAAATAAGTACAACTCAAGTTGCTTTCTAAAAATGTCCATGGTACTAGCATTTCTGGGGTCCGAGAAACTTGGGAATGAATTATAACTACGGTGGTTTCATACTTGGCTCTTTCATCCTGCCCCCTGCAATCACGAAGCACTGCATGTCCAGGCTTACACTTGTCTATTCCGGGGAACAAGCTTCAATTATGGAAGACACAGGTTTAAAAGAAACAGCTTTCTGTCTTCTAGTGCTATCAGTTTTCAAAACAAGTTTCATTTTTAAGGGAATCTTCCTCCTTGTATCTCAAGGGTATAAATAGTATACCTGTGGGTGACAGGAAGAGTGGCTAAAAAATGAGATTTTAGAGGACAAACAACTCAGCAGTTCACCTAGGAGTGAGGGACACCTCAGTTCCATGAGTGGAAGACTCAGTTTTCATTGTATGCAACTCTGCGATCAGTGTGGTCTGGCCCTGGGTCCCTCCATCTCTCAGACCTCCGATCTCTATCTCTCCTCCTTTTCACCAGTTACTTAGTACTTAGATAATGCTCTGTTCTGTCATTTTTGGTTAGGTTTTTTTCAATAACATGCTGAAGGCAACTCTCCCATTAGGCTGTAAACTTCTAGAAGGCAAAAGTACAGAGCTCTGCACATGGCAGATGCTCAATAAATGTATCCAAATCTAAGTCAGCGAGCAAGCATCAGATCAACAAAGCCACAGGAATAAACATTTTCCAGTCTGCCCTTAAGACCTAAGGTCCAACAATTATCGAGAACATCGGAGAAATGAGAAAAGCTTGGGGGTATAAGCATGAGATAATCTACTTAATGTGTAGTGTGGGGTTATATAAACAGCAGGTAACTTCTTAGCTCATATCTAACCAGTAATAGCACCAATCTTTTTTGCATGGCGGTTTACACTTGCTTTTGCACATTCTGAATGTGTCATGTACAGCAAGTTAAGCCCACTGAGGAAAAGGAAATCATGGCCCACCAAGTTTCCATGGTAACTGTAAAAAGTTGCCAAACACGAAGATATAAAAATAACAATTAAATCATCCACGGTCTCTTTATATAAAGGATTATCAAAAGATTTTAACTTTAACCAAGCTGACTTAATATAAAACAAAATCCAAAACATTAAGAAATGTGAGCTTTGGTAAAGATACCAAACAATTCCTTCTTGGGCTGTGAATAGGTCTGCCAAGTTCCAAGTGAAAGAATTTTATTTTAAACTGTAATGCTAAAACCCAAGGCAAAGGATTCCAAGGTTAGGGAGAAAGGAATGAGAAGGATTTCTACACTAGCTCGCTCCTTTAATAAGATAATTTCAAATAGATAAAGCTACATGTACAAAAACTGAATCTCAAGTGCAGGAAAATAGAAATAATCCTTTGTGCTTTAAATATATTACCTAAAAGAAGAATGTTCATGTTTTGTGCTTCCATGCATTCTGTAATCTCTATTGCTTTTTTCAGGCAACGTCTGAATAAGAAAAAGATAAGAAAAAGGGGCATTACTTCTTCAGCTTGGTAACAAACAAGTAGTTTACAGATAGTCTGAATTAATCTTCAGTTTTTCCTCTCATTTGTTTTTTCACGCTTAAATCCTCCAGAAAAGAAACTATTTACTTTTACACTATTCAGATACTGGGAGACACTCATCTACCTATTAGAAGCTGAACATTCTCAGAAGGGAATCCCAAAATTGATGTTAAAATGCTCCTAGGCAATTTCTACACTAGACATTCTCATTGAAAAGTCATACCCAAGTCTGCTGGTGAGCCCTAGTAAGACCTATAAATACCCCTAGCAGCAGAATGTGAGGCATGTCTCCACTGTTTTATTCAAGGTGATCTGAGGAATGTATTGGTGTGGCTGAAAAGATCTAAGATGCTCAGAAATCCTTTGTGTCTCCCTCTTTCTACACGTTATTCCCTTTCAGCCTGTTGCCACCAAGTGCAGCTTCCACGTGTCCCAGCTGATACCTAGGGTCCTTCACATATGCTGCCCTCCGCTTGCAGTGGTGCCCCTTCCTGTCCCCAGTAACCCTCCCTCCCCACACCCTGACACTTCACCTGGTTAGGGATGCTCACCCTTCTTTGCCCGCCCTGTGTTGTCTTTCTTTTATAAAATTTATCACTGTTTTCCATTATATATTCAAATTATGGGATACATAACAGGATATTCAAAATATAGTTAAGTGTCTAGAGGGCTGAGGCTCCTTTCCACAGTACTCACTGCAGAACTGAAAGTGAGTGTGTATGAGGAGGAAGGAAGCATTCCTCTTTCCTCAAATGTAGCCTAAAGTGGAGCTATTCTCTTCTCCATCATCATTCTGTTTTGTACCTTCCTTTGCCATATCCTGTATTTAATGGTAACAGAGAGGAGCTAGGCAATACACGAAGTAGGAAAGGCAATATAATGCTCTTCTCTGGGAGTGTTAACCTAACCAAACCAAACATGACTAATAGACATTAATCATGATAATGTTTAAAAAGCATTTAAACAGGTAATACATGTATAAGACACAAAATTCAAAAAGGTATTCAGTGAAGAGTCATTATCTCTCCCATTCTCACCCCGAGTTTCCTCCCTGGAGGCCAGCACTGCTGCCTCAATTATAACTTTGGGTTGCCAAGCCCTTTTCCATCTATAGAGTATATCTCCTTGTAAGCAGGAAGCATGTTTATAAATTCCTATCGAATGTGCACAGAAATAAGTCACAAATGTAAAATCTGGCTGAGCCCTAAGTAGAACATGTGATCTAAGAACATTTAATTGTGAAATATCAAACTGTTAAACTGTCAATTTGCTTTACTACTTTGAATTAGACGACTGTAAAATTCATGAGCAAAATAATGGCTTGAAATACCTGATTATGTCAAGCCAGCTGCTACTTTCCAACAGAGAAAACCACTTTATATCTGTGTCCCAAAATTCAGTACTGTTATCTGGAAAAGGAAAAAAGAATTAAGATGTCAGGTCATTGTTCACTGACACACCTGTCACAAAAAACCTGTGCTACTCAACTGAGCTATGTGGATGAACAGTCTAGACTCTAGCTGCAGAATCTAGGCTGGAGACTCCATTTCAAGCAAAGGGCATTCATTGTTTCAGCTGAAACGATTTTTGAACTGTAGGCCCGTAGAAAGGGTATGACAGTCAAAAAGAGATCTTTATTGCTGAAATAAGAAAGGCCTACACAATGTACACAAAGCCATGGTTCACCCTATAATTCAACAAAGAGAGTAATGTGTTCGGCAGAAATAGTTGACCTCCAGGCTGCTATTCCTAAGTCCAAGGTAGAAAAAGTTACCTGTAAGTGTGACAAATCTCAGAGAGTAAAGACTCATTCAGAAATGGAGAGAATCAATAGGTGACAGCATGATTAGATACGAGTCAAGTTCTAGATTGTTACTGGTAGGCAGCCTGGGCAAGGAAATGGGGATAGCTGGGATGGGCATGTTTCCTTTTCTACTGTGTACATGGCTGATTAATTGAAAATTTTTTTACGTTGTTAGAAACTGTATATGCCCAATCAGGAAAAAAATTAAGGTATTTCCACTTTGGGAAAAAAAGTCCACTATGGAAAACAAAGAGCTCATTCACTTTATAAATCACCACAAGTGAGTGAATATAGGTTCAAAAGCTTTTAAAGGGAGAAACCAAAAATGCTCACCACTGGGCAACTGGTGTGCTGGGGAAAGGGGAGAAGAGGAGGGTGTGATCCCTGCCAGGACACGGAGGCAGGCGGGGAATGCCTGGAGAGAGATGGAGAGTGGGGTGTGGCGGTGGCAGCTGGTCCCCTGGCTCCACGACATCACTGCCCTGAGCCTCTGTGTACTACTATAAAGAACCCAGGAAAAGGCACCAACTTTCACCTGATCCACGTGGCGTGTCTTTCCCCATTTGACAGAAAGTTTTTGCTCAGAATTCTTCTTACCTATCAGAAACAGCTGTTTAAATTTAGAGTATGCAGTCTGGATTTCCTGCAGGGATAGGAAGTTGCCTGACAGGTCTTCAGTTTTAACTATTTCATAGGGTGGCCTGTGGATGGTCTTGTAAATTCTAGGTATCAAAAAGGAACACAAGATTAGAAGAGCAAACACGAATTTAGAATAGCTTATTTTTCCTGAGGACTTACTATGTGCCACTATCTGTTAAGGGATGTGTAGGTATCCTCCCATCTAACCCATACCTATGAGGTAACTGCTGCAGGACCGCTGTTCCCAGGCAACAGATGTGGAAATGGAGGTGCCCAGAGTAAAATTACCTGGCCTAAGATGATCAAGCTGATAGAGCCATGATTTGGAACAAGGCAATTTAACTCCAGAATCTATTTCTTTTTTTGGTTTTTAATTCATCCACTTTGGGGTTTTTTAATTTTTAATTTTGAAAAATTTCAAACATACAGAAAGTAGAAAAGATTAGCACGGTGACATATGCCATATGCCACCTAGATTTGACAATTATTAACATTACAGACATCATGCCATCTCCCCTAAATACTTTAGCATGCAACTCTAAAAACAATGCAGTTGACATTCTTAATGATTATGTTATACTGACTCCTTTCAAAGTAATTAAAAACTACTGTAAGTTGTATTCCCTTAGTACTAAGCTACCAGCAAGTAAATAGAAAAACTACTAAGAACTGTTCCCGCTTCTTGGGAAAAAAAAGAACTGAACAAAACAAGAACAAAATGTAGAACTAGTACTGACCCATCCAAGAAGCTCTTCTGGATTTGTAAAATGCCATCGTCCTGTTCTTTGGGCAGTGCTGACATTTTCAAAAGGGCACTTCCATTGTGGCAGGACCAACACCATATCTGCAGAGTGGAATAAAGATTTTCCAGACATAATCCAGCAGGGCCAGGTAAGCTTAGCATTTAAATTTGTACAGGGAAATTTATAACTTCAATATGAAATGGCTGTATATATTCTACTTTATTAAGCAAGAGAGTAGATGATAGAAAAAACTGAGTCTTAAAAAAACCAAACACATCTACATAGTTGAACTCAGAGTATGTTATGGTCTAACATATACCTTTGGACCTGGCTTTAGTGCTGGTAACTTAGATGATGATAAACATTATTATTAGTTTTAGGATAGTAGCTATCCCTGGAGTGCAGCTTACTACAAGTCAGGCATTTTATATGAATTTATTTAATTATTATGGTTATTCCTTGTAATAGAGATGATTATTATCCCCATTTTAGCAGCAAGGAACTGAGGCTCAGAGAGACTGAAGGACTTCCCCTAGTCGTACAGAAAGTAGCAGCACTCCAAAGCCCTGTTCCACCTGGATGGCAAAAAGGAGGCAGCTTCCATCATTAGAGAGAATTCACACTAGAAAGAATGGAAAGCTGGCTATTTGACATACAGTAAATATAAGACTCATACATTCAAGGCACTGCATTAGGTTGTGAGAAGGCAAAAAGATGATTAGGATACTGTGTCTACTTTCAGAGCTTAAACTCTCAAAAGGGAAATAAGCGTACAAATATCCTAGAAGGTAGAATGTGGTATACAACAAGAAGAACGATAAAAGAGGACAAGGAGAAAGAAACCACATGAATGACCATCATATGAGTGACAGGCTAAGCAGGCATTTGGGCTTTTTTCTGCCTAGGTGATAGGTTAAGATGTTTAGACTTTTTTCTGAACACAGTGGGAGTTTTTGTTTGCTCTGCAGGAACAAAAATAGACTGGAACTGACCTTGGGGCAAAGTAATCTTCCAGCAGAGCTTAGAATGGAGGGGAGGGAAGGGCTGCTTGGGCAGGCGAATAGTTGTGGACTTTGGGCCCTGCATGAAGGCCAGGCAAAGCGTTCAAGAGTGGCTCAGGTCCAGCCCTTGCTTTGCTGATCAAGCCATCAGCCTGGGCTCAAAGGTAAACCTGGAGAAAAAAAATGCCTTTTGTAATTCAGCTGCCCAGAGGGGGAACCTTTTTGCTATTCATTTGTCACGAATAACATAAATCATACGCTGGATGTGCTAGGAGTAGCCTGGGCCAAGAGTTAGAGATCAACAATCCAGGCGATATCCTGCACTACACTTATAAAGTCATAAAGAGGAACCAGTTTGGGGTTTCTGGGAAAGATGATGGACTCGGCATTGGGTATACTGGGTTTCCAGTGCCAATAGGACATCCATGTGGAGGTATTCAGGAGGCCCCTAAAATGAGAGTTATGAGCTTCAGAGAGGAAGGCAGGACTGGAGCTCTGGACATGGAAGCTGATGGCTGCTGAAGTGGAAGAGATGAGAAGCCCACCCAGAAAGCCAGGACAGAGCAACACAAGATGACTTTAGGAACTCCCCTCTTGGGGTCAAGCTATACTTAAAGATTGATAATGAGGCAGAAGTCTTAGAATACAGACAAATCAAAGGGCCTTTTGCTGTTCTCTTATTCTAATGTCATGCTAAGCAATGTGCAGAAACTACCACACAGTTTTTAGCTCTCTGCCAAAGGTGGCAATATTTTGAATGCTCAAGCAGTTATGCCTCCCTAGTTGGTATAGTTCACTCAGATAAAGGGGGAGATACCCTTAGCCATGACTAGATGATGGGTTCTAAGAAACTAAGTGTTCTTCATGCTTTTTATCTCCTCTCCTGGGGCAGAAAGGATAGGCCTGTGGGAGGATTCAACCACATAACTCGTTTTCCATTTGGGGCATGTGTAACAATAATTCCCAATCACAACTGTCTCATCTTATCTGAGGCACAAAGGGCCAATCCACTTACTATTCTCTACCTGAAATAGTAAATAGAAACGAACAGAATTCCTGGTCAGAGAGACTTCTCATAGGAATTTAGCAAAATGTCTTCTGCCCTCCAAGTACTAACCAGGCCCGACCCTGCTTAGCTTCTGAGATCAGACGAGATCAGGCACGTTCAGGGTGGTATGGCCGTAGACAGCAGTAAGTCTTCTATTCTTGCAATATGTACAATTTCTCTCTTGGAAAGGGCCACAGAGTTCTTAGTATGAATGACTTAATATGTAAGAATCGCAGTTTGTTAATCCCACTTATTTTAATATTTTAGAAGGGGAGGAATTACTCATTATTTGGTACATTTTAAGGTATCTCTCTTAATAGAGTCAAAAACAGCTTTAGAAGAACATCTACAACCAGATGCTAGAAAGTAGTGTAAGTAAGAAGGAAAGGAACCAAGTGAGGAGGTAAGAGGACCAAGAGAGTATACAGTGTTTCCCAAGGCAGGACAGGAAGTTAAAAGACAAAAAATGGAAGAGGTAATCAGTGTCAAAAACTGCAGTGATCTTATAGAGAACTGGGGCTGTGCATAGCTCAATGACTTCGGGGAAGAAAATGTCAGAGAGTGAGGGGAGTAGAAGTCATGTTGCAAAAAGAAATGAGCAAAGGCCAGGCACTGGCTCATGGCTGTAATCCCAGCACTTTGGGAGGTTGAGGTGGGAGGATCACTTAAGGCCAGGAGTTTGAGGTTGCAGTGAGCTACGATGATGCCACTGCACGCCAGCCCGAGTGACAGAGTGGGACACTGTCTCAAAAAAAAAATAAAGAGTAGAGAGAATAAGTACATATTCTTTAAATATGTTTGGTATTATAGAGCAGAAGAATCAGATAGTAGCTTGACTGTTAAGGAAGGGCTTCTTCAGGTTAGGGAGATGTACGGATGTCTTCAAGAAGAGCGGAATATACTTCAGAAAGATAACCACAGAAGAGGGAAGGCAGACGGAACTCGGATCCAGATAAAGTAATCAAAACCCAGACAGAGGGTCAGATTCTGTGTGAAGGAAACAGGAGCACAGAGAGAAACAATAGGAGGCCAAGAAGAAGGAAGCTGAGGGAGTTCTTGTTGCTGTCCTGGATCCAACTGAAGCAGGGGAAAGAAAGGTCATCACTAAGACTTAAGCATGATACTACAAACTTAAAGAGAATGAAAACTTGTTTACCCAGGGTAGGATGATACAGGAACCAAAAGGAGTTAAATAAAAGACTGCTGAGTGGAAGATGGCCCAGCAGAGACAAGGTACAGGTGGTTTCATGGATCCTGTTAAACACAATCTGCAGTTTGGTTTGAATAATCTATAGCAATGTTCATTAGCCCCAGAGTGAAAAAAGATAAATACCCAGAGTTGGAGAATAGCAGAGGGTCTAGGAGGCCAAAGTCTCTAGAATGGCAGCAAGGACGTGACTGAAGTGATAAATTATGCAGGTCTTGCCTGAAAAGGAGTAAGTGAAGACAGGGAAGAACAGACTAGGTAGAAAGACAGGGTAAAAAAGTATGGAAATGTTCTGGAATAGATCATGGTAATAGTTGCACATATATACTAAATAGTATATAGTTGCAAATATACTAAATGTTACTAATGGGAAATTTTATATTATATGTATTTTACCACAATTTTTAAAAATTTTAAGATGTTCCCCAATCTAGCCCCAAGCTGTCATGTCAACGTTAGCACTGGCCACTCCCCTATGCTCCTACTGCATAGGAACTGTGATTGCTGATCTCAACTGTGCTTATCTGCCAGATCCTGGAGAAAATGTTATGCATATGTGATCTCATAGATCAGCGGTTCTCAAACTTTTTGGTCTTAGACTCCCCTACATTCTTAAAATTATTGAGGACCCTGAAGAGCTTGTGTTTATGTGAGTTATAGCTATTGACATTTATCACATTCGAAATTAAAACTGAGAAATTTTAAAAATATTAATTCATTTTAAAATAACCAATTGCACATTAATATAAATAACATTTTCTACACACAAAAAGATTAGTAAGATAAATGACGTTGTTTTACATTTTGGCAAACCTCTTAATAATCTAGTTTAATAAGAGACAGCTTGATTTTCTCATCTGCTCAACAACATCAAAAAAGTATGGAGAACAAAATGTAAATATGAGTAGGTTCAATAGGAACGAGAGAAAGGAGGAGGGATAAGGTAAGGATGTGGCCAGAGAGGGGCTTATGGACACTCATGTAACTTAGTTGTCACATTTTCTATAAGTCTCCCTATAAGTCTGATGACACATATGCTAAATACGAAACAAGAATCTAGACCACCTTAAGGCAGGGGTTCTCGAACTGTATTTGTTTCCTTGGAGACATCTAGCAATGTCTGGACATAGTTTTTGGTTGTCGCAACTTGGAGGGTGCTACTGGCATCTCAGAAGATGTTACTGGCAGGAATGGTGTTAAATATTGTACAATGACTGCCTTCACAACAAAGAATTATCTGGCCCAAATGTCACTAGTGCCTAGGCTGAGAAATCCTGCCTTAAACAAAAAATAAGAGGTTATAGCAGTACAAGTTTGCAATACTGATAATTTCAAAGGAACATTTGAAAGGGTTGGGTTTTCTAGGTAAAGGTACATAATTTCAGCAATTCCAAATACAAAATAAATTGTCTTTTAATTTGCTTATGATCGTTTTTGGTGATCTTAATGGTAAAGTCAAATGAAAATTTTACATTAAAAAAAGAGGGAGAGAGATAGTGAGAGCTGTGTTATCTGTGTAGATGTGTAAATTCTATTTTGTGTAATATTTTTGCACTGTCCATTTATACAAACTCCACCAATAACTATCAGACATATAATTAAGGCAAATGTAATGAAGTGAGAACACCTTTCCACAATTTCTATCAAAGTTATGCTGCAGACTTCTCACTGGGGTCTTTTGTTTTTCTGAGACAGGGTCTTGCTCTGTTGCCCAGGCTAGAATGCAGTGGCATCATCATAGCTCACTGCAACCTCAAACTCCTGGGCTCAAGAGATCCTCCTGCCTCAGTGTCTCGAATAGCTCAGACTATAGGCACATGCCACCATGCCTGGCTAATAACTCGC